CCTCATGGACCAGCCCGCCAGAGCTCCCTGTCGGCCGTCACCACCCCCAGCTCCTTCAAGGTCAGTCCAGTCACTTTCAAGGATGCCATCCATCCATCTTGCCCTTGGTCGGCCCCTCTTCCTTTTGCCTTCCACTTTCCCCAGCATAATTGTCTTCTCTAGGCTTTGCTGTCTCCTCATGATGTGGCCAAAGTACTTCAACTTTGTCTCTACTATCCTTCCCTCCAGTGAGCAGTCGGGCTTTATTTCCTGGAGGATGGACTGGTTGGATCTTCTCGCAGTCCAAGGCACTCTCAGAACTTTCCTCCAACACCACAGCTCAAAAGCATCCTTCGCTCAGCCTTCCCTAAGGTCCAGCTCTCACACCCGTAGGTTACTACAGGGAATACCATGGCTTTGACTAGGCGGATCTTTGTTGCCAGTGTGATGTCTCTACTCTTTACTATTTTATCGAGATTGGACATTGCTCTCCTCCCAAGAAGTAAGCGTCTTCTGATTTCCTGGCCAGTCTGCATCTGCAGTAATCTTTGCACCTAGAAATACAAAGTCTGTCACGGCCTCCACATTTTCTCCCTCTATTTTCCAGTTGTCAATCATTCTTGTTGCCATAATCTTGGTTTTTTTTTCATTTTTAAATGGTCCCAGAAGGTAGAAAACCATTATAAAATGTACAAATAATCTTGTAATCTCACCCAAGTGGGAAAAAACTGAATTGGATTGCTGTGAGTTTTCCAGGCTGTATGGTGATGTTCCAGAAGCATTCTCTCCTGATGTTTTGCCAAATCTATGACATAAATGTGGTGAAACGTCAGGAGATGATGCTTCTGGAACATGGCCATACAGCCTGGAAAACTCACAGCAACCCAGTGATTCTGGCCATGAAAGCCTTGACAACACAGAAAACTAAATTGTTTAATGTCTCTAAAATGAAAATGAAATAAGTGAAAGAACTGTGTATACTTTGGTTCCACAGTGATTCAGGTTCAGCTGCTGACTCGAACTCTAAAAAATGTCAAGCTGAACTGATGCTTCTGATATGGCCGCCATTCAATCACTCAGGAACAGATTTGCTTCACTGCAACTCCACCCACATAGGACATTTGCTTCTTTAGTTATGTCCATTTTCTTAATTTATCTCTTTTAAAGTGGATATATCACCTATTTCCCAGATATCAGAATCAAGATAATGTACCGAAATAAGCATAAATATTTCAAATAACAATGCCACCCTCTAATGTATACATAAATATCACATAATAAACAGGTGGCCATGATCTATGTGAGTTGCATTTCAGCACAAGGGCCAAAAAAGCAAACACATGTGGCCAAATACTGTAATGGCTTAAGCAGCCCCAATCCCAGGCTGGCACAAGTTTGACACTCCTTTTACACTGCCATATAAAATCCAGATTATCTGTTTTGAATTGGATTATATGGCAGTATAGACTCATATAATCCAGTTCAAAGAAGATAATGTGGATTCGGGCCCCGGCTATCTCCGCGATCACATCTCCGTCTATGAACCGGCATGAGCTCTAAGATCTTCTGGGGAGGCCCTCCTCTTGGTCCCACTACTGTCTGAAGTGTGGTTGGTGGGGATGAGAGAGAGGGCCTTCTCAGTGGTGGCCCCCCATCTCTGAAACACTCCTCCAAGGGAAATAAGACAGGCCCCATCCCTCCCCTCCTTTCGTAAGAGCTTGAAGACCTGGTGGTTTCAACAAGCCTTTGAAAAATGACCAGTTCTAACTCAGCCCTACACGTTGGTGAATATGGCCTTATTCTTCCTACCAATTACCCAGATCATTTCCTCTAATCGGCCCCGGAATGAACAGCCACAGACCTGTATCTAATATTATTGTCGCCTGCCATAGCATTGCACTTAATTCCCGGGCCCCCTAGAATTTTTGGGCTTGCACAAATCTTGTCCCGGCCTTTTAAATTGCCTTGAACAGGCAGGATTACTATTAATATATGTGTGTTATGGCGACAATTTTTATGCTTATATTTTGTTTTGTTAATCTTATGGTTATGTTGTTTTTTACCTTGTATGTTTTGTGATGTTACCTGGGAACCGTTCTGAGTCCCCTCGGGGAGATGGAGTGGTATATAAATAAAATAATAATAATAATAATTATTATTATTATTATATGGTAGTATAGAAAGGGCCATATAGAGAATATGTGAGGCTAGGAAAGAGTACTGATTGAAACCTTGGTGAGCCATTGGTACCTGTGAAAATTAAAAATGTGAAACTAAATGATCAGCTTCCTAAATTTCAAGGCATACAAACATTAAAACTGAATTTCATTGTCAAAGAACTTCACAGTGTCAAAATATGCCAATGAGCACAACTACAGAGAAGCTCTAAATCAGGTTGTGAGGAATGTGTAGCTCTCCAGAAATTACAGCAGTTTGTATAATCCCTAGCCAAGATATCCCATGACTGTGGCTTAGCAACATCCTTGGAGTCAACTGTTCCCATACCAGCTCTGGAATTGTGGCTTCTTTTCTGAGATACCTAAGGCAATGCCTATTGTAATATAAGTGTAGGATCAAGCAAAAGAAGGGGAATCTTAATAAACCCATTTAGATCTTTAAAAGCTAACATGAAGTACCTTGAAGTAGCCCTGGAAAGAAAGACATATGCACACATACTTCTACTAGTTGTAACAGAATTAGACCGGGCTAATGATCTGACTCAGGAAGTTACAATTCTACCATATTCCAACTATCAACACGCACATATGGAAGCACCGACAACAAACATCCCATAATCAAATGTGTTTCCTTTTTCTTACTGCCTTTCTTGGCCATTTCACCACACTTGACTCATTGCTAAATTGTCCCTGCTCTTCTATCTTAAATGACCATGAATAACCTTTTGTAAATTTAAAGTCTATATAAGCAACCCCTCACTGAACCAAGAAAACATCTGTGTCTGCATGAATACTTCCTGCCTTTTAAGCATTATCAATTCCAGAGAGTGAAAGTTAATTAATTAAAACCAGTACAAGGGCCATTGTGCAAAACAGCCATGGCAGAAAAGCCTCTTTTAATCCCCTAAAATACAATTCAGGGTAATCTACTAGATCAGGGCTTCTCAAACTTTTTCTACTCATGACCCCCTTTTGCTCAAGAAATAGGTATAAAAAGTACTGAGAATATATCAGCAACTGCAAGGCTTGGCAAACAGGCTGATTTTCCTTTTTGTGGAGCACAGCTGAAGCATTTTCTGCAGAATCCACTGTAAATGCGGCACATGGTTGCTAACAGGTTTGGGTGGTGCTCAGAAGACTTTTACTGTTGTCAATTTTTTCATGACCCCAACATTGAGTTAAGGGGACCATATTTGGGGTTGGGGCCCACAGTTTAGGAAGCAGTGTTCTAGATCTTTCGTAGCAATCACAAGTTGGAAAAAGTACTCAGAGTACCATATGGTGTTGTCAGGATTTTTTTTGTCACATCAGCCACACAGTAAGCCCAGAATTATGACATTCCCTCTTCTTAGAAGCATCTACAGTGTATTGGCAGTGTAATGGCTGGAGAATATCCACTGCGTCCATGTGGTTGTAGCCACCATGTGCTTAAGCTACCAACAGGATATTTTAGTAGATCCTGGTGACCTCTTTCTAGGTTCTGCAGTCACTCCAATACATACTAACAGAGACTTTCAATGTTCAAGAACACCTCAAAATAAAACAGTACACATATGGAAAACATAAGTAAAACAGTTTCTTAAAGGAACACAGTAATATGCTAGCATTTCAGAAGCATCTACATTTTTAAAATACTGATCCCATTTAGTTGTTATTGCTGTTGCTGATGCCACCTAAATAAGCCTGTCTGAGAATTTAGGGCATGTAATGTTAATTCCTGCAGGGAAGACAAGCTTTATAACCTATATAATGTGATGCTGCTTTGGTAGAGACAGAGATTTTATGGTGGCAGAAAAGATACTCTCAGACATACTCAAGGAATTGCCTTGGTGTTTGTGCATAGCCTTGACAGGTGTCAAAGGATTCCTCTGTAGTTTAACAGCTTTATGTAAAGATCTATTTTAGGCTTTTCAGGAAAGGGTGCTTTAAAATTATCATTTTGGGTGTGGAAAAGAAATTCTTATTATTCTGAGAATATTGTCAACAGCAACATATGTATTTAGGCATCAATGAAAATGGCTCCCTCTTCAACAGTAGCCACATCCATAATTGGTGAACTGAAGAGGGATTTTGGAGTCCCTTATAGGAGCAGAAAAACATTGCAACATTGTACTCCAACTAAGGACCTCATCACACTGAGTTCCTAATGCGGGTGACAGCAGGGGAATTTGTCAGGTGGCATGGTGAATTTGAGGGGTAGCTGGGGAAACCATTCCCGCCTGGCTTCTCCCTGCACTCGACCCTTTTGTAGGCTATGAGAACATGGGTAGCCACCCCTGTTCTTCTCATGGCTCCATCCTAGGATGCATACAGGATGGAGCTTCGTTGGAAATAGCCCTGTCTCATGTGAAGAGCTCTGTCATGCTCATCCTGGAAGCTTCGTAGGATCGAGCCAGAAGTACATGTGATGAGGACATAGATCTGAAGGGCATAAGAAATGGGAAACAAATGCCTGCCCATTTTTGTCACTACAATCCCTAGATTGCCTAATGTAGTAACAACATCCATACTTTGATTTAAAACAAGACATATAGGAGTGCACATACCAAATTACAAGATGTAAGTTCTTCTATATGACCAATCAACAGAGTATGAGCTCTACGTGCCTCATTTTCATGCAAAAGTGCCGGGTATTATTGGAGGCTGCATTGCTCTAAATGACCTATTATTTAATCAAATTGTTGTGAACCTTCTTCTGCTGTATGAGTTTGGTTTCTCATTCTCACAATTTTTCAAAGTTTTTCTCTACAGTAGATTTTTAATTGGAAATGTTAGAAATTACAGATGAGCCATAAATCACAGCAAGGGGAAAACTGAAGCCAAGAGCAAAAACTGAAGCACTACCTTCATAGGAGCAAGCTGGATGGGCGTGATGCATGAAGGATCCACCATAGGCTTTGGCCTATTTGCTGTGTCTGCGAGTAAACTATGCCACTGTTGAGGCAGTCCTGTGAATTTTTGTTCTCTGTGATCAAATCCAGTGTGCACCCTGTGTTCAAAATTCGAAGGGCCAGAAATTTCTATCTTTTTCTTCTTCTTTCCAAACATGGTGGAAAAACCTGGAGAAGGGAAAAAATATCAGCATTAAGACATAATATGTTACTAAAACACACGTCATGGATAGCAAAGGCACTGAAAAGACTTCATGCATCCGATTAAACGGACTCTTGTCCAAAAAGATTTATACTATATTATTAATTAAGATAGTTGTGGACATCTTCCACAGATATTGAGAATATTTTTTGCTCAGAATCAATAAATTAAAAAGGAAACAACAAATCATCACTTTTTGAGCTTTCCAGAGAAGATGATTGAGGATAATTGTGGGGGAAAGGGAGTTGGAGCTTAAAAGGGAGCTTTACAAATTCACATTCTGCTTACAACAGGTTTAAGGTGTCACAAGATTATTTGTTGAGAAATCCTTGGGCCCATTCATTCTAGTACTTATAGCACTATGAATCCACTTTAACTGTTGTGCCTGCACCCTAAGAAATCATGACGATATAGTTTGGAAGAGCTCTGTGGATGAGGATTCAGCACCTTCCTAAACTCCAATTCTCAGGATTCTGTAGGACGTTGCCATGACAGTTAAAACAGAATCATAGTGTTAAATTTTGTAAGCTGCAAGCGCCCCCAATTATAGAGAGTTAGGCTGTTCAATTCCAATAAAGGATTTAAAAGTATGAGTTTTCCAATGAGATTTGTTTTAATATAGGGATTCCCAAAATTGCTGTTGCTAGTTGAAAAGTATATCTCATCTATTGCAGAATTATCCCACTCATCATTCTGTTAGCAGGGCCAATGGCCAGAGATGAAAAGAGATTTACAACTTCTTCAGCAAGGTCGAACAGGACATATGATTACAATCTGTGCTTGATGGGGTTATACTCCCCCTGAAGGTGCAGGTTCGCAGCTTGGGAGTGATCCTGGACTCATAGCTGAGCCTGGAACCCCAGGTTTTGGCAGTGGCCAGAGGAGCTTTTGCAGTTAAAACTTGTGTGCCAGCTGCACCCATACCTTGGGAAGCCTGACTTGGCCATGGTTGTCCACGTTCTGGTTACATCCCAAATAGATTACTGCAACACACTCTGAAGACAGTTTGGAAGCTCCAACTAGCCCAACGCTTGGCAGCCAGGTTGCTCACGGGAGTGGAGTACAGGGAGCGCACAGCCCTTGTTAAACCAGCTCCACTGGCTGTCAATAAGCTTCTGAGCACAATTCAAAGTACTGGTTTTAACCTACAAAACCCTACACGGCTCAGGCCCAGTTTACCTGTCCGAATGTATCTTCCCCTATAAACTATCAAGGACTTTAAGATCTTCCGGAGAGGCCCTGCTCTCGGTCCTACCAGCTTTGCAGGTGCGTTTGGTGGGGACGAGAGACAGGGCCTTCTCTGTGGTGGCCCCCCAGCTATGGTACTTTGTCCCTGGTGAGATTAAGTCTGCCCCCTCTCTCCTGTCATTCAGGAAGCAGCTAAAATCCTGGCTTTGGAGTCAGGCATTTACAGATTGACAGATGATTTGATATAGACTAAGTGTTATTTGGCCGTTCTGAGTCCCTCCACGGAGGTAGAGAAGAAAGGTTCTAAATAAATACACTGCTTCACCTCCCTTTACGGCATGGAGCCCTTCACACAGCGTAAAGGGACGTCTTGCCAGGCTTCATGCCGAAAAGGGAGGTGAAGCAGCGCCTGTTGCCACTGCAGCAACATGGGAGCCTTCCTATGTTGCCTTCCCTTCAATGGGGGGAATCCGGGTGGCAACGCTTTCCCCCATGGGATGAGGGAGAAGGTAAGGTGGATAGTGGAGGGCATGGAGGAGTGGTTTCTCCATGCGGGGCAAATCCTTGGGCCTGTATGATAAGGACCTTCGCCTAACAACAGAGATGAAAAGAATATTGGGGTTTCAAGATTTTGTTGAAATTTAATCCTGAGAGTAACTGCAAGACAAAACATACTTTGTCTCAGAAGTAATATTTGCAAGCTCCATCTATGTTTAGTACATATTTTTGAAAATGAGGAAGGTCAAAATATACAGGTTTAAAAATATGCACAGACACAGACAAATGCGTATAGAAAATGAGAATGCATTCCCATGCCAGAAGTAGAAAAAAAACACTGCTTGAAAATGTTTATAAGGAAAGGATTGGATGCAAATAAAGGATAATTCAGAGAGACAGAAAGAAATTTGGACTGAAAACTGTTCACACCCTCAATGAACACTGAGAGACCCCAGTTTGAGAACTGCTACTGCAGATGAGAGGACAAGATCGCAATTCAGGGGTAAATTACATGTTTTGTGTGCAGACAGTATAAGACTAAAACCTTTGCTTATCCATTTGAAGAATTCAGACAGCAAGGGAGACGTACTTGTGGGACCTTAGAGAAAGGATGGGGGTTATGTAGCATGCTCCTATTAACACCTCTCCACCAACCTCTTAGAAACATTGGCCCAAAACCAACAGAAGAGATCTGTGTCTGGATCTCTTAGCATTTTTTTTAAATCTTGGAACATCTGACAGCAGGCAAAACGGGCTTTGAGTTCGCACTGCTAAGAGATGGGGATTGAACCTTTTCCCCCTTATTTGATCCTCAATCCCCATGCTCAAAGCTTCTTTTAAGATCAAACAGAAAAATAAGATGGGGCCCAGCCATGTTTAATGAGCTCAAAGAAAGACAACTGGCATAAAATTAGCCCCCCATCTGTAGAAATGAAAACCATTTAACTGCCCAGGTTATACAAAAGATGACAAAAATCCTGTTGAGTAGTTACATATGTAAGCTAGAGTTACACACTTGCAACTGAATGCAAAGACTTATCTGTGTTAGTCTGGATCGGTATGCAAAGAGATATTGTAGCACCTTGGAGGCTGAGAGAAAAGTTGGTAACATAAGCTTCTGCAGGCATATGTCCACTTTATCAGATACTTTTAATGAAGCAGATTATGTCAATCAGGAGAATGGTCTGACACACCCTTTTGCAAGTAATTTTCAATATGAGGGGAAATTGCAAGAAGGCTGTTGTTCCAAAGATCATTCATGAGAAAGCAAAAGCTTGTGCTACTAACTTATTTCTCTTAGCCTCGAAGGAGCTACAAGGTTCCTTTGCACACTTATGACTATTTCATACTCACAATCCATATGTAGCACCTAGTTGAGAGGCTACAAGGGGACCGTTCAAGTCCTCTAATTCTTCCTTATCAATCAGCAGTTTCTGCAGTCTGTTTTTATGTCAATCAGGAGGATGCTCCTACCAACCCCTTTGCAAGGAATTTCCAACATGAGGGGAAATTTCAAGAAGGGTCTTGCTTTTGTCTATTGTTTCAAAGATCATTCATGAGAACGTCTTGGATCATCAGTCAGATTACTGATGTAAATATGAATAGATTCCCACCAATTGCAATATTTGCTGCCTGTCAAGTAGGGATTGAGACAGGATACACTACATAGTACCATAAGTAAGGAACTTATGAAATCATATCCTTAACAGGATTCTGGCTAATATCTTGAACAATCTGAAAAAAATAGCTTTTTGATGACTTGGAACTACCTTTATAAGAAAGCTTCCTTTAAAAAGAAATGCCTTCCATCAATGTATGAAGATTTGCAATCCATGTATTGCTGAATCTATTAATTTTGATTTCACCTGTCTTGTCTTTTCCACTTTGTAAAATCATAAGTTCATTCAGTCTTGTTTAAATGGCTTTTATCACATTTGTGAAAATTTGTATGCAATTTCTAATTTTACATAAAATAGTTTTTTTAGTTTATCTGATAAGCACTTTTTGCAAACACAATGCTGTTTCCCCCTTGTGGCATAACAATTTGCAATTATTTTTTTATTGATCAAGTGTCAATTTTTATTGGCACTTTAGAGACCAAGAATACCAAAAGATATTGCAGTTGAGATACTGATTCGGAAAATCACCAATTTTGCGAAGTCCCATTAAAATATAAAATACATGAAATTTGCATCCCCACCTTGAACTTGGAGTAGACTGTCCTTGTCATATTATTGCTACCATTTTGGATTGTTGTTTTTCAGAGATATTCTTTAATTTAATTTTTAATAATCTATATAAATAAAAATGTAATGTTCATTTGTGGGATTAACATAACTCAAAAACCACTGGGTGAACTGACACTAAATTTGAACACAATATACCGATAAGGCCAACGAGTGACCATCACTCAAAAAAACATAGAAGAAGAGACTTAAAAAGCCAAATAAAATAAAATAAAATAAAAAATACACTACAATGCATGCACATAACCACATGGTTCCCCTGACATTAAGTCCAGTCGTGTCCGATTCGGGGTGGTGGTGGTGCTCATCTCTATTTCTAAGACCAAGAACCAGCATTCTCCATAGACACCTCCAAAGTCATGTCTGCATGGAGCACCGTTATCTTCCCACCGGAGATCTACATTCATCTACTCACATTTGCATGTTTTCAGATTGCTAGATTGGTAGAAACTGGGGCTAACAGTGAGAGCTCAGGCAGAAAGCAGCCAGGCTTTGAAGCTGCAAGGCCATTCAATGCTAATCAAGGTGGCTATTTACAACATTCACATTTCCCTCAAACAAACAAGAGTTCTTTCTCCCACCCAGGACATTCCACAGATATATAAACCTCACTTGCCCAGTTTCCAACAGACCTCACAACCTTTGCGGATGCCTGCCATAGATGTGGGTGAAACGGCAGGAGTGAATGTTTCTGGAACATGGCCATACATCCCAAAAAACTCACAGCAACCCAATGATTCTGGCCATGAAAGCCTTCGATGACACATAAAATTAATATTTGCAAATTTGTGTCTCTACATATGAGTCAGTATAAGCAAAATGTATGGCAATCTGTTCCCTCTTTGAAGACATGTTTCTTCTTTTGAGAAGCTGAGCAAATAAGTAGCCATGTGAGAGATTCACTGTACCCCATTCAACCAGACTGCTGAGCCAGTTGGACCATAAAAGTCTGAGCAGAGAAAGTCTTTACTCCAGAATAAAATATTGAGCCAAGCCATGTTGTTTTAGACTGAAGACCACTTTAGCAAGAACTG